TTTTCTCGGTTAAAACAAAAGGCATGAATTTGTACATCCTGGGTGTTTTTCTTCACTTCATACAGAGGGTATTAATGGAATTCATCATTCTACTTGTGTTTGTTACCTCGTTTTCCTTGGACCAAACAAGCTTAAGATATCTAGTATATTAACATGTTCTCTAAGCATCGGTGTAAACACAACACTGCTAGAAAATGACATGTGAACTCAGAATGAAATGCACGCAAGTTAAAATCAGATATACATCTAATCCATGGACCACAGGAACATCTAATCCTCCGCGAGAGGCGCGCGTGCGACGACCTCGGGGAGAGCGACAGCACAGCGGCGCCCCCTGCAGCATCCATGCCACCTCCCCACAGCCGCACCGTCCTCCCCGCGATGCCTGACGTAGCCGCGCCACCTCCCCACGGTCCCGTCGGCCTCCCTGCGCCGTCCTCCTTGCGTTGGATCGGAGTTGGGAGAGAGGAGAAAAGCTCGCCGGAACCCTAGATCTAGGAGGAGGGCCTACCTCGTCGGGGTCACCGCGCCACTGAATCCGCGCCATTGCCACACCGGGGTTGCCGCATCAGGTTCGTTTATGCCAACACTGCCAGGCTACGGGGTCGCTGTGGTCGGGCCACTGCAAGCAATGGGCCTCTCCGCCGCTGGCCCATGGCGCTGCAAGCGCCGCCATGCCGCTGGGAAAAAGGGGGGGTGCGGATCCAGGAGAGGGCGCCGGATCCGGCGAGGGGGGGGCAGATCCGCGAGGGGGGGGGCGGGGAAGGAGGGGCCGCCAGGAAATGAGGGGCGCCAGATCTAGGGAGAGGGCATCGGATCCGGCGAGGGGGGACGCCGGGGAAGGAGTGGGGCGCCGAGGAAGGAGGGGGCGCCGGGGAAAGTAGGGGCCGCCAGGGAAGGAGGGGGGGCCTGGGAAAGGAGGAGTGGCTGGGAGAGGAGGAGAGGGAGGCGGCGCCGGGCTGGGAGGGGCGCTGGGGGCGGGAGGAGAGAGGGGCTTAGGGGGGCGGGAGGAGAGGGGAAGAGGGGCGTTGGCGGGTGTTTGGGGCGGGCTAGCGGGTTAGGGTTAGAACTTCTTAGTTTTTTATTTATTTTATAAATAATATTTTTCTATGCATACATATATTTTTTCTGTGTGTTTTTAAAAAAACCGACAGAATAAATTGCATTTTTCTATGAGTACTTATTTTCACGCACAGAAAAATCATACAATTATTCTTAGGGTTTTCGTATTTTTATGTCGGAATATTTTAGAACCGACAGAATAATCATAATTTTTCTATGCGTACCGAAAAAAACGCACAGAAAAATTGATCACCCACAAGGCAATTCGAGTTTCCAGTAGTGGTTTTATAGGCAAGAATCAAGAGACAAAAAAGGTCCTTTTCCTAATTAACAATTAAGCGGCTACCACAAGTCGAGGCACCTCGGAGGTCTGTTTGCAGAAGCAAGGGTAAAATTGATGGTGCAAGACCCATCTACTCCATTTTTTTTTACAGAAATACTCAAGCGCAGTTCCTGATAAGCTTCCTCCTAGCCACGTCCCCTTCTTCTTCCTTCGTTCTCTACTTTTCCTCTCCCGACTCCAGCGAGCTCCTCTCCGGTGGCCTTGCCCACACGACGTCTGCACCCGCGCCCGCCCCACCCCCTTATTCCCCAACTCCGGCGGGCTTAGAAGAAGAGGCTCAGAGGGAGGCCGGTTGGCTAAGCGGTGGGGATGGCGGTCAGGTGGTTCAGGGATCTGGCGGCGATGGAGCGACCAGGCCAGGTCAGGGAGGGGGCGTCACGGCTAGCTCGCTGGCACGCCGCCCAAGTTTTGGAAGCACACCTCGGTTTTTTCTCGGGAGTGTACGGAGAGGACCCTAGTTTTGCCCCAGAGCTTACAGAAAATAAGTAGTTGCCATATTGAACTATTTCTTGGCAAAATTGACGTATCTAACGGCAAGGGCTCGAACACTCACAACTAACAGTGGTGCTATTAATTGTCCGCCCCTACAAAAATGTTATGATTAATCCTCAGGTGTTTCTACATGACTTTAATTTGTTTTAGCGAAGGCATGGACGGAGTACAAACCTCTTTGTTCATTTACGGCTCAACATACATTTGGGTGCTAATTAACAGCACCCTTGAACGGCGTTGCTGTTCAGAAAGCAGGCGCACGCGGGCTTAGTCGGCCGCCAACGTCCCTGAAGCCACAGATCCGGCCGCGGCCACTACATGCTGAGCGCCTTATTCTTGGCACTCGGCAAAGACCCACCCTCTTTGCCGAGTGCCATGCTCCGACATTCGGCAAAGTTTTTTTATTTATTTTTGTTTTTAGCCTCCAATTTTTTTGTGCAGCCCTTTTAAAGTACCAGGAACTCTTAATTAGAATTTGGAAATTTTTTGTGGCTTTTTGATATATTTAGTTTATTTCGTTTACTTGAATTTTTTCGAAAAATATAAATTTGAACTGCACGTGGTACGAATAATGGAATTTAATGATTCAAAAAATGATAGTCATGTTAGTGAGTGTAGTGTGAGGCCGTATCCAGGAATAGACCCGAAATTTCAGACATCTTGTTCACGAAACATGACCGCGAACTTGCGTGCGAAGTGTTTTTAAATTCTATAAAAAGCAAACGAAGTCCGAAAATCTTGAAACTTGTTGAGATGTCGTGATATCGTATGTGGAGGCTATGATAAAAATTTGAGAAGGTTTGGTGCACGTTGTCACGTACGATGCCGTGTCAGGGGCACTCAGCAAAGTATTTTCCAAAAAAAAAACTTTGCCAAGTGCCTAACAGCAGACACTCAGCAAAGAAGGACGTGGCCGAACACCGTTACGCGGGGCAGCCTATGCCGAGGGCCGCGGTTTTGCCGAGAGTCTGGCACTCGACAAAGAACTCCTTTACCGAGTGCCGGTTGTTTGCCGAGTGTCCGGCACTCGGCAAAGAACTCTTTGACGAGTGCAATTATTTGCCGAGTGCCCGATTTTTGATACTCGGGCAAAGCAGTTTGCACTCGGTAAAGACTCTGTTTTCAGTGGTGTATATGTTCTACTATGTCTAAAAATAGAAGACCCACACAAGCAGATTTATCTGCAATCCTATCAACTCACGTCACCGCCTAGGGTCAACTTCTCTCTACCTTCTTTAATGCAACAAAGACCATTTCCTCTCTTCTCTTCTTGGTGTTGTACATGTCGGCACCTATTCTCCTTCTAGCATGTGAATGGACTAAAAACTCACTACTGGATTCAGGTTCTTTGCCGAGTGCCTGAGGCACTCGGCAAAGGCTATATTGCACTCGGCAAAGCCTTTGCCGAGTGCGGCACTCGGCAAAGCACACACGGCAAAAAATTGATCGGCAAAGCACTCTTTGCCGAGTGTATTTTATCGGGCACTCGGCAAAGGCTTTGTTGAGTGCCCCGGAAACACTCGGCAAAGAAAAGCGACCGTCACGGCGCCGGTCTCGTTGACGGTCACTTTGCCGAGTGTCAACCCTGCATGGCACTCGGCAAAGGGTGTCTTTGCCGAGTGCCAGACATCATGCACTCGGCAAAGAATGTTTGAATTTTTTTAAAAAATTTCCTCTTTGCCGAGTGCATCCACAGGAGCACTCGGCAAAGAAATAATAAAAAAAATTAAATCTTTGCCAAGTGCCGTCCAGGGGGCACTCGACAAAGTATTTTAAAAATAAAAAAAATTTCTTTGCGAGCGCCAGATCTGAGACGCTCGGCAAAGAATTAAAAAAAATTTTAAATCTTTGCCGAGTGCCAGATCTAGGGCACTCGGCAAAGAAATTAAAAACAAAAAAAAACAAATATTTGCCGAGTGCCTAACAGCAGGCGCTCGGCAAAGAAGGACGTGGCCGAACACCGTTACGCGGGGCAGCCTATGCCGAGTGCCGCGTTTTTACCGAGAGTCTGGCACTCGGCAAAGAAGTCCTTTGCCGAGTGCACTTTTTTGCCGAGTGTTCGCACTCGGCAAAGAACTCTTTGCCGAGTGCAATTTTTTTGCCGAGTGCGGCACTCGCAAAGAAGGTCTTTGCCGAAAGTGCCCGATTTTTAACACTCGGCAAAGAATTTTGCACTCGGCAAAGGCTCTGTTTCCGTAGTGACTAATCCAAACGCCACCACACACGAGCAAATAAACAGGCACTCATGAGGAGCTCCTCCATTGGCGGTATGTTTGATTGAGATGTAGCTTCTCAAAAAGTTGTTACGTTACGAGCTGAGGTCTGTAGAAAAGCTGCCATGGTTCTGGGCTGTGGGAAAGCTTGGAGCCATTTGGTTGAACGGCTGCGGCTTGTTAGAAAAGCTACTGTGAGCGGGTCTCATGTGTCATCCGACCCAATCTGTCAAGCACAGTGTGCAGAGGAGAGCATGGATGCCGTCGGGGCTGAAACCATGCTGGCCGCCGCCGGGGCCAAAGCCACGCTCGCCTGCCACCGGAGTCGGTGATGACGGAGGTGGCGCAACCAGAGGAGCTCATCGGGCCGCGCCCACTGGAGCCGGTGCTGCAGGGATTCATGCCGCCGAGGCCAGTGCCGCTCCATGGAGGAGGCCACATCAGGTCAGCCTGGGGTGGCGGTGCCTTGTGTTTCCTCGTGACTCACGAGATGCGAATAAACTCTAGTCCCTGTTTACATGGTTGGCACCCGATATGTGCACGCAGGCACCTGACGGAATAAGTCCGACTCCACACCAAAGACACCTGGCGGACTCGAGTCTGATTCCACCAAAACCATGCAACATGACTTGGCTAAGCTAAACTAACCCATCTAAGAGCATCTCCAAGAGTTTCCTAATTTTTTCTTCTAAAAATTTGTAGTTTGGCAACTCCTAAAAAGATATTAGAAGGGGAAAAGATAGTCATCTCCAAGAGTTTTTAATAAATGTCATCTAAAAAATCAAATTTGAGGCCCACATCATCTCCACGCTTGTTCATGGCCGCTATCGGCTCAGAGGTGGGCACGAAGCGGGTCTCCATGCCGGTGTTGGCGAGGAAGCACCTCCACCATGAAGGCCGCCGCACGGCTCATGGAGAAGATCGTGCCAGGCGCGTCCGCCATGAAGGCCAAGTCCAGCAGCAAGAAGGACCGGTACCTGCTCAAGCGCCAGGACACGCCCGAGGCCTCCTCCGCCGCCGCTTTGTGTTTCACGCCTCGCGCTGGACGACGGCCCACCTGGATTCTCGCCAGCGGCGACCCCACACCGCCGCTGCCTGGGAGCTCCATCATGGACGAGGACTTCATGCTGCTGCAGAGGCGCACCCCGCTCGTTGAGGTCCCTCCTCCCGCCGCCCACCAGGCCCAGCCGACCGAGGGGCCCGCCGGAGTCGCGGTCGCGCCCAAGAAGGTGACCAAGCCCAAGAAGCCCCACAAGCGCGAGCGGGAGGAAGGTGCCGATGCCGATGCCGATGCTAGCCCCGACGCCGTAGACGCCGCCGGCAAGCCCAAGAAGAGGAAGAAAAAGAAGAAGCTTTCCTACCTGGATGGCTCTGGTGCCGGCAAGGCCGCCGTGGTGCAGGACCCCAATGGGCTTGACCTGACGCAGGTACTATCGGACATCCGGAACCTCCCGCTGGCTCCCTTCCATGGTGGCACGAGATGGCGCGAAGCAAGAAGCCACGCCAAAATGACGGCGGCAAGAGAGAAATCGAGCGGGGGGACGGATACGCGCGACGGGAGCAGCGCGTAAAGTTACGCGGAAGGGGGAGGAATTTCCCAAGTCCTAAAAGATTTAGAGTAAATATTAGGAGTTATTGGAGAGGGATTTTTCCCCATCTTTCTAAAAAACAAGGATTATGATGATGTTTAGGGAACGCTTGGAGATGCTCTAATTCTATGACTGAATAATAATCTGCTGCGTCGCCACCGCAATACCCATCGCAACACATGCCACCAGTTTTTAGAAATGCTGACCAGTTAGACCATGAAGAAAAGGTAGTACGTACAAGATAAGTATATCAGCAACACAACAAGCAACTCATTGAGCATAAGAGATTACATTAGGTTATACCCTTTTGCTAATTAACAGTTTTTTTTTTGAGGAAACGGGAGGGGTCAAGACCCCTATTGGAATATATTAAAACAACAATAAAGCGTTTTACAGGCAAGAATCAAGAGACAAAATTAAAGGTCCATTTCCTAATTAACAGTTAAGCGGCTACCACAAGTCCAGGCACCTCGGAGGTCTGTTTGCAGAAGGGTAAAATTGCTGGTGCAAGACCCATGTACTCCATTTTTTTACAGAAATACTCAAGCGCAGTTGCCTAATAAGCTGCTTATCCGTCAGTCTACCTTCTTCTTCTTCCCAGCCACGCCCCCTTCTTCTTCCTTCGTTCCCCACGTTTCCTCTCCCAACTCCAGCGAGCTCCTCCCCGGTGGCCTCGCCCACGCGACGTCTGCACCCGCGCCCGCGCCCGCCCCACCCCCTTCTTCCCCAACTCCGACGGGCTTAGAAGAAGGGGCTCAGGGGGAGGCCGGCCGGCCAAGCGGTGGGGATGGTAGTCAGGTGGTTCGGGGATCTGGCGGCGGTGGAGCAGCTAGGCCAGGTCGGGGAGGGGGCATCATGGCTAGCTCGCTGGCACGCTGCCCAAGGGTTAGGGTTGGCGGGGTTGAGGGGCAGGGGTGGGGCGAGGACGAGGTCCGCCGCCGGCCACCTTCCTTGACTTTAGGGGTGGGCAGGGTCGACAAGGCGGGGGCGGACGGTGGGCGGGCTGTCTAGCGGAGAGGCAACCAAGGTCGTGGGGGGCGAGGGATGAGCTAGGGGTGGGTGAGGCAGGTCGCCGGCGATGGAGAAGAAGGCGCGGGAGGAAGCACTGCTGAGAAGCAATGCACGAGGAAGAAGGTGAGTAATGGTTATGCAAACCATGAGTCACCTGAGGAGTGAGGAGGAGACACACCCCTTTTTTTAAGGGAAATGTTTGGGGTAAGGCATAAGTTAAGGACCCATTAAAGTATTCAGAGTCCAATTACATAACCTGCCGACTTGTTTGATAATGTTTAGAGTTTATTTTATAATTTTTAGGGAATCTTTTGTAATATATGCCACCACCTAGAAAAAGTACTAAAACCTTCCTTCTCACCTCACGAGAGAACATAGTTCTCTTTTTCTCTCTTCTTCTCACTCTCCTTCCATTCTTTTGCACGAGAGAACAGAGTTCTCTTTTTCATGAGAGAACGGAGTTCGAGAGTAGCAACTAAAGAAAACAACCAACCACACTTGGGAAGTAATGAGTTTTGGAAGCACACCTCGGTTCTTTTTTTTCTCGGGAGTGTACGGAGAGGACCCTAGTTTTGCCCCAGAGCTTACAGAAAATAAGTAGTTGCCATATTGAACTATTTCTTGGCAAAATTGACGTATCTAACGGCAAGGGCTCGAACACTCACAACTAACAGTGGTGCTATTAATTGTCCGCCCCTACAAAAATGTTATGATTAATCCTCAGGTGTTTCTACATGACTTTAATTTGTTTTAGCGAAGGCATGGACGGAGTACAAACCTCTTTGTTCATTTACGGCTCAACATACATTTCGGTGCTAATTAACAGCACCCTTGAACGGCGTTGCTGTTCAGAAAGCCGAACAAAGACACGAGATTTTGGAAAGCCGAGGACAACAGAAGATGCTATATTTCAGAAAAGCGAGGCGGCCATCAAGCAAAGTAGCAGTTGGATCCAGTTGTGGATAAGCCAACTCTCGGCCCACTGGATTTCTTCAGCGGAGGGACAGCCGTCGGCACGCGGGCATGAGCATCGGCCGCCATCGCACGGTGTGGGCTCGGCCATCCCAAGCCGCCGCCTTAGGCCCCAGGCATGGCCGCTGCAGGCGCACGCGGGCTGGGCCTGTTTGGTGTGTACAGTACATCCAAAAATTTCTGTCGCATAGAATGTTTTGACACATACAATATTAAATATAGACTAATTACAAAACTAATTACACAACTTACGACTAATTTACGAGACGAATCTTCTAAGTCTAATTAGGTCATGATTTGACAACGTGGTGCTACAGTAAATATATGCTAATGACGGATTAATTAGGTTTAAAAAATTCATCTCACAAATTAGCCTCTATCTATGTAATTTATTTTGTAATTAATCTATATTTAATGCTCCTTATTAGTATCTAAATATTTGATGTTACATAAATTTTAGGAGCGACTAAAAAACCAAACACCCCTTAATCGGCTGCCAACGTCCCTGGAGCCACAGATCCGGCCGTGGCCACTACATGCTGGCGCGGGACGCGGGCACGATCCCGCCGGCCATGAGAATTGGTTGACATCAGGGATGAAGCCAGAAAAAAATTTAGGAGGGGCTAAACAAAAAAATAGAGGCTTTTTTATCTTCTCTTAACCTTAGTCCCTCCTACCTAATATATATATGCATAAAATTTTGAGGGATGGCTTAGGGGGCTCCACGTGCCCAGGATCGGTAGGGGGATAGAGCCCACTCAGCCCCACAGTTGGCTCCGTCGCTGGGTGACATGATTGAACTAATGATACTTGTTTGGTATAAAAAAATTAGTATTTTAATATACTTGGTTAAACTTGAGAATGATTCACGTATCAAAATATGAGACCTCGACTTCTTTCACCTGGAGAAAGTGAATACTAAAAAAGTCACTGACAGGGCGCAGTGGCTGCTCATTCATGTATATAAATGCTGCGGAACACAAGTTGCAGTGCAGGGCTTAGGGAGTGTTTGGTTCGAGCTACTAAACTTTAGTAGCTACTAAACGGTTTAGTCACTTTTAGTAACTCCAGAGTTACTAGAAAGGACTAAAGCCTTTTTAGTAGCTTTTAGTCATAACATTTGGTTAAAAAGTTATTAAAGTGATTAAAAGCTACTAAATTTAGTAGCTACTAGATGAATCAAACAGGGGCTTAATATTATCGGCGTAGTACTGACGATGATAGAAACTTCGATGTGTGAATGTGTGATGAGCATTCACGGGACTGAATTTGTTCAGTCTGATGGTGAAGTCACCTCCTAAACAGTGTTTCTATCTGACTTAATTGGCTTGCGTGTGATAGAATAGAATAGGATAGGCCTGGTTCAGTAAACGAGATCCACTGCGATGGATCAGCATGAGAAAAGCGTATAAACGCACATAAGTACTAGTTTGTCATGGCCCAGCATGAGAATTATGTGCGTGCAGAGTGCGACGGCAGCTGCCACCCGTTGCCGGCTTCGTGGTTGCATTGTATCCACCCATAAATAGCATTGTCCCAGTAGATACCTTGCCACCACAGACTACATTACGACCAACTAACCACTATGAAAAATCTCCACTGCACTCAGATCTAACCCAAGACATCAACCGAAAACTGAAGGCAATAATAGAGGACAGGGGTATAAATTTCCAAACGGGGCGCGCGAAATGGGCTGGCACGGGCCCGGTGCGAAAAAGCACGGCCCTAGCCCGGTACGGCCTGGCCTCGCTCGTGCCCGTGCCTGGCCCGGCCTGTAGCTGTGCCCGTGCCTGGGCCGAAAGGTCGGCCCATAGTGCCGGTCCAGGCATGGCCTGTTCCAACAGGCGGCACGGGGCAGGCACGGCTCGCAGCCGTCGGATCGCGGACGCGGGGCGTGAGCCGTTGGATCGCCGGGCGGCCGGGGGGGGGGTCGGTATATAAGCCGCCCGATGCGGCCGCTCTCCCCACTCCCCTCACTCGTAACCCTAGCCTCTCGCCCTCTCCTCTCCGGCTCTCCCCGCTCACTCTGTCGCTCGCCCACTCCTCGCCGCACTCGTAACCCTAGCTCCTCGCCTGCTCGCCGCTCTTCGCCGCACTCGTAACCTGGGCTCCTCGATCAACGTCGTCATCATGGAGTCTTCCGGCGGGTAAGGGGTCAGTTCCGATGGCCGGTGGTTCCCTCTTCTCCCTCTCCGCCCTCAATCTCCCTCTTCTCCCTCAGATCCGGTGGTTCCCGCCCTCAATCTCCATCTGTTCCCTTATTCTTCATCCCTGAACGTCGATTGAGACTCGTTGTCGTCGTTTACGGGGCTCCGGCCATAGAGGTAAGGGTAAACCCTAACCCTAACCCTAACCCAAACCCTAATCCCCAACCTAACCCTGCTTTTATCTATTGATTGTGGCAGCCGTTGAGGAACCAGAGACGGCAGAGATGGCCCTAGGCGCCGGGCGACACGACGACGGGGAGTTTGACCACTCCCAGAACGACGAGCTGCGTATGTGCGGGATGGCCGGAGATGATGAGGACGATGTTGTCCGCGAGGACGCTGCCGTGCTCTTCGGGCGTTCTGCTGTTGATCCCTTTCCCGTCGATGACTCCGACCCCCCAGTCGACGTGGTTGATGCCGACGGTGGCCATAGCGAGGTTAGCCTGTCGGTTCTAATCGCCCTTCCACGTCTGCTGTCTAGGAGGACTTTGAGAAGCACTACAAAACTGAGAAAGGTAGAAAGATCAGGTTTGCTGCCACTTGCCTTCATTGCCATAAGCGCTACTCTGCTTATTCTGCTCATGGCACTGGGCATCTTACTCGACATCTTGCTAAGTGTCCTAAGAAACTTGAGAAGACCTAGGGCATGACTTAGACTCATATTGCTTTTAATTCTGATGGTTCTGTTCGTCGTTGGGAGTACAGTGCTAAGGTAGCTCGTGTTGAACTTGTTTGTATGCTTGCTAGATTGGACCTAACTCTTATGATTGTTGAAACTGAGGCATTTAAAGATTATATTAAAACTGCTCATAACCCTAATTTTTCACCTGTCTCTAAGCAAACCACTAGTAGAGATCTGTTTAAATACTACAATGAGAAACATGATAAATTGATGGTCTGTTTAAAGGATAATGTTGTTTCATCTGTTGCTATTACCTCTAATATATGGTCTGGAAAGGCTAAAGAAGATTATTTATCTGTTAGGCTCATTTCATTAATGCTTGATTGGCAATTAGAGAAAAGGGTACTTGGTTTAAGGTTGATTGATGTGTCCCATAATGCTAAGAACATTCTTTGAGCATGTTGCATCATCCTTCTTGAGTATGGTATACTTAATAAGGTTTTTTTCGTAACTTTGGATAATGCATCCGCAAATAAAAATACTATGAATAAACCTGAAACC